TTTTATAAGCTAATTAGAAAAAGATTAATTAATGACTGGCTGCTAATAAAATGGCAATCATGAAGAAAGAAACCGAGGGTGCTAAGCTTCAACTACCACCAATTAAGAGCTAATTACAAACAAATTATATATGTGTTTTGCTGTGGGCTTTAATTTACTAAAATGGTTTTAATTAAAAGAGAAAACATGCTGATTAATTGAACTGCAGAAAAAATCTACAGTATAAACTACGCTTTGTCTGTCTCTTTAATTAGACTTGTAACATCTGAAATCTTTTTTTAAGGTTTGTGAAAAGCACAGATAAACATAATTAGGGGAGAGCAGAAGGAACACCATCCTAGGTGATCATCCACTCAGAACCCAAAGGTTAAAAGAAAACATCCTCAATGCCATGAGATCTAAGCAAGCCCATCTAAAAACCTGCGAGAAAAACTCATCGCTCAGTACCATTCTTCTTTTTCTTATGTGAAACTGCCCCAACTGCAAGGCTGCACACAATTTTTTATGGGAATGAACCTATCTCGAACCTCGATGTAAAGGAATTCAATGAAGTCGTCCCTCACCTGCAAAGGAATAGCTTATTTTCCACACACTGTGCTAACTGTTCACCTATATAAAGCAACGTGACTATGCGCAGACTACAAAACGATTCATGGAGGAGCATTTAAATTAAAAAGCCACTAAGAAATGACCAGTTATAATGAAAGTGATCAGTTCTAAACAACCCTTAACAGGCACACCCCCCTCTGGCAGCAGAGCGAGCGGCCAACCAGTAGGAGCCCACTGCGTGAGCGAGGGCCTTCCCCTCCCGCCTCCCACTTTCTCCCCATGGCTAGCCCGTGAGACGCGCCACAGAGAGAACAGTCCTAACTCTACTGTCTGACTGGAAAGAAAAAAATAAAGAAAAAGTAAAGGGTAGAGTAGTAAAACTTCAAAGGACTTGAAATATATTTTGCCAGTTTGCAGGCACTAGATGACTTTGTATGAATTAATGTATTTTTCATTATTGATACTAGATTAACAAAATCATCTCATTTCTACAAAATAAAATGTTGAAATGGAGAAACTTTAAATTCTTAATATATAAAAATAAGTAGTATTTAATGCACTTTTACTCTGCTTACACAACCTTCAGTGGCTAGAAATCACAATAATTAAGAAAATAAGAAGTACCTGCCATCTTTCACGAAGTCACAGGTTCTGCTGATAAATTCTTACAACAGCTAATTGGAATATGAGTTCAGCTTCGTATGTGAATTGTTTTACCTTGGAAACATGGCTGTTAAACATATTTCTACCCAAAGAGAGTATTCATGAAAATGGGAAGAAAATAATTCTGCTCTCAGGATTATGGAATAAAGGGTTTAGAACCACCAGATTTCCCTCACAGTAACATGTCATTCAGTTCGGCTTCTTTTGTGTGTGATGCAAACACCTTTCCTACAGTATTAGAGCTCTGCAACAGCCCTGATTAAAGTGGCTTTAAATCACCAAGTTTGGCAGCATCTCCACTCCAAAACTTTAAACAAATGTTTCAATTCTGAACTCTAGATATGATCATGCTCCCGGTACTTTGTTAGCTCAACCCCTCAAAATTGTATTATTTGGAAAGGACTGGGGAGGGGATAGGAGGGGGAGGCAGATAATTCAAGCTGTCATTCCATCAAGACAACATGGCATGTACATCAACGTAAAACTAATAACCAAAGTAAAAAGCATAAATTGTAGCCAGAATCCTCGGAGGGAAACTAAAGCCCAACAGTAAACTGGGAAAATGCTGAAGGCTGGTTAAGTGCTCTGGCACCCGACGCACTGCTGATGAAGGACCGCTTCTTGGATGTTAACATAAAATGTGGGAACTACCTCTTCAAATGTATACCTTCCCCACTTCAATGAGAACGCCTTTGGATTTTCTAGGAAATTGCTCTAAAAACAGTTTATGCTACAAGTTAATAACCTGCCCAAATTTAGACAGCACTTAATTTAGCTAGGAGAGACTGTAATTCAATCAATTCAAACATTTTTTAATAAACTATTCCTACATTTGTTATTGAAATAGTAACAAATTATTATTTCAACATTATTGACTTTACCTATATTTTGAAATCCAAACATCTGCATAGCCTGTTTAATAAATTTAATAAAAATTAAAATTCTTAAGTTGAATTCATCCTGCCAATATAATACTTTTATATCTATAAAACTGTGATATTAACATGGGATTTTTAAAAACCATTCTTACTTGTGAGACCTTAATTGGGTTCTAAAAAATACTATGCCCAATAGCACGAGTGGTGGAAGTCCTTTCCTTTGGCCTGTATTCATTAACCCAGGCAAAAAGCTTCATAATATAAAACATTTTATATCACTACTCCAAATTGAAGGGTTTTGGCCTTAGTGAAGATGGCAGCAGGTTATAACTACAATATCTCAGATATGAATATTAATACTTTGCAAATTATATAAAGTACCAGAGGAAGATCACTATCAATGAATGGAATGTGCTGCCAATTCAGGCCTGAGGTTAACAAGCCACAAATACGCTCAAATACTTTTGTGTGTGAGTGTGTGTAAGAATAATATTTTTTTTAAAAAAACAACTTAACAGTTTCATCAGTATGACACACACCCAGGTCCATTTTTTTCACTTCATCTCTCCTCCAGGATCATTAACACCAAAAAAGTATTTAATCGACAGGAGGGAGTTCCAAAGCAACCGCATTACTGCATGGGCAAAACCAAAGATAACAAAGACGACAGGACAATCCAGGCTTCAGACACGGGGCCTTGAGCCACCCCCCACTCCCCCAACCAGATTATATAAATTCCTTAATGTCGTCGTTAATTTCAGGGAAAGGGATTCTGGAAAAATGCACTTGCTGCGTCACAACAGTAGTGTGCTGACAGTCTTTTTTGGGCACATTTTTGAGGAACTGTTTTCAAGGCCCATCCTCAAACATGGTTCTGGTTTTGGCTTCCTTTTTCTCAGTACTGATTCTGCCCTATTGGTTTCAGAGACTTATAAATGTTAAACATCAAAAATTAGTTTCACTTATTATGGTTAGAAAAGGCTTTAAGAACTCTGGGATCTGTGCCTCTGAGCAAAGGCTTTATCAGCTGGTCCCAGTCACTGCTTCTTGAAAAAAGAAAATGCCCCTGATTAGAAACCAATATACCTGATTTCTAAAAGGACACCTACCATGCATGTATACATTTAATTTATAAAGGGTTTCTGCCCCGAACGCACAATTACTTACTTCTCAAAATCCCATCTCATCTCCATGGTGTGTGACACCAAAGGAATAAATGTGAAAAATTAAATCTCAAACTAAACTATTTATTCAAGAATTCCATCTTGATTACTTTAGTTATTCTTCATGGGCACTTAATTAACATGGCATCAGTATCTTTCCAATGTCTGTGTCTGCACAGCAAACACTTTCCAGATGTTTTTCCACTTCCACAAAGACAAGAATAGGACCCAAATTATTGTTTCTCTTTTAATCAGAATCCTTTAACCCCGCACTAAATAAATTTAATTTATTGTACTAGAACAAAGCATTACTTTTGTATGGAAGTAAAAAGAACACTTGAGGAAAATGTTCGCTATCCTTACAAATGCTGAAAATATCATGTATTTATTTCTATAGCAATCTCATTTATCAAAAAGTGTGACAGAAAATAACCCTTAAAATGGAAAATACCTAGTCTGTATTATACAATTCCCACTTCTAAAATAGCAGTATGACAAAACAAAACACAAAACCAGAAACCAAATATCCTCAAAGGAAACCCACATTTCTGAGGCCTCTCAGGCACTACGTCTGTACAGCCTCACCAGCAGCGTTAAAGGGCAGAGAAAGGAAGGCTCACGAGCGAACAAGGTGAGGCCAACAAGGTGGAGGTAACACGCAACTGCTGCTCGACAGGAGGCCACAGGTGACCCAGCCCCTCCCAGGGCACCGTTTAAGCTTCAGGAAAAAAAGGGAACTTCTGAATCCCTAAGCCTCTCTTCTGGACTTGTTTTTCCTACATAAAAATATAAACCTCACAAGATACTTATGGCCAGCAGCCATAAACAAACAGTCATCAACAGTAGATTGTTGACATCTGATGATGTAAGAGTGCAATAGCAATTCCACACAAAAATTGACTGAAATGGTAATTTCATCACTAGGCTCAGAAAAAATGCTCACCTTCAGGTGAGTAAGAAAGAATAGTACCTAGAGCCAACAGTTTACACAGATGTTTCCCATGAAATCAAACACCCCAGAGTAGCTACAGCTTAGGAATAAGATGAAGGAGATAGAGACACGCTAAAGTGAAAGCTATGGCAGAGCTTCTCCCCTAGAAAGTACAAAAAAGAATAACAAACAAAACACATGCCAATACAAGCTCTTTACTCTCTGTGTGACCTTGCCTAGTGACACCCAGCAGTGAGCCCCAATTACAGGAATATTCCCCCGAAAAGGTGCAAGTCAGAATATTCCAGAAGCCTACGTACTTAAAAGAAGAATATTCAACATATCCTGTATCTGTGAGTTTTACACTATAAACTATAAACTATAGGTTAAAAAAAAGGACTGAACATTCTTTAGGGCTGAGGGAAATGTGCAGAATATGAAGTAAAAAGGCATTTTGGGGAGCAAGAGTTAGAAAGTCACTGTGCCCTGAGGGCGAGTTAAACTGAGTTAAAGATGCAAATAGAAAAAGAAAGCCTTTTAATCATAACGGGCAAAAAGCTCTCTGAATTACATAAAAATCTAGGGTTGAATATCAATCATGGATTATTTCCACTGTATGTTTTAAACTTAATTTAGAAACATAAAAAACAAAAATATTTTTAAATAAATAGCAGAGCAAGAGGGAAGAAAACAGACTGAAAGGAAAAATCTTAGAGCAAGTATCTGAATACTGAACTTACTTATGATCATAAAAAGAACACGCATTCCTCTTAGAAAATCTGGACATACAGAAAATGTGCCATCGGTGTGACTCACCTCTCGGGTGGCCAGCTGGTTGCTGAGTTCCTCAGCCTTCTCAATATTCCACTCCTCCACAGCCTGGTCGATGCTCTTTTCAAGGCCCGACTAGAGGGAAATAAAACCTAAAATTTAAAAGCAGGTAAGAAAGGCAAACAAGCATCTGCTAGCAAAGACTATGTCTTGCGACTACACCAAGTACATACTCAGGCCGTTTGACTCCCGTGATGACGCTGCATGGCAGTTGGTACCAAACCATTTACTGACAAGAAGGCACCTCAAGACATCAAACGGCTTACCCAAGGTCATGTAACTTCCTGGACTAAGAAAAATAAGATACAAGTCCAGATTTTTGTGACTCCAAAGCCTGTAATTTCTCTTACTAATAATAATAATGTTAATGATAATAGTTAGAAATTATGGCATGCTTATTATGTGACAGACCGCGGGCTTAGTACTGTAAGAAAGCTCATTTAATCTTTCTAACAACTCTCTGAAATAATACTGCTATCCTGTTTTAAAGGAGAGGAAACAGAAAGGTGGGCTCACTAACTTGGCCAAGGTCAGAGTCCGTAAGTGGTAAGGTCATCGCATGATCAGCCTCTGCCTCTCCTCTCTACTGCCCATTCCAGGAGCTTGAGACTTTCACTCAACTGCTTCTCCTACTCTTTGACTATAGGTACTAAGTTGAATATTAAACATGGGAAGAAAGTTATATATGAGAATGATTTTATTTCCCAATGGAAATTTTTTATTTACTAAAGATACTCCAGAAAAGCATAATTAAAACTTTCATGGAGTTACCAATCAGGTAGGATTCATCATATATTTATGGAAAGATGCTTAGACTTAAATAATTGAAGTTTAGCTTGTGAAAATAGTTACTACAGAAAAACAATTTCTTTAAATGGTCTAATATATGCTTCTTACCAGAAAATCTTACCCTAACAATGGCATATCTAGTGTATCCTTTAATGTCCATATTTTTAGTCAACCAATGTCTCCTCCCTTATCTAATAAAAGAAGTCCTTCAATGGACCTTCCATCAGTGGATTGATTGCTTATACCCATCACCTCAGTGAAACGCTGTTCCTGAGTAGCTTTTGTTGAAATGAGACTTTAAAAATTCCCACATATACAAAGCAGAAACAAACTCACAGATACAGAGAACAAACTCTGGTCACCAGAGGAGAGGGTGGTTGGGGACTGCGTGGAAAGGTGAAGGGATTAAGAAGTACAAGAAGATGTAAAGTACAACAAAGAGAACACAGTCAATAATACTGTAATAACTAGGTACGGTGTCAGATGAAATCTAGACTTACCGGGGTGACTACTTGGTAAGGTATTTTGGGTTGGCCAAAATGTTCATTTGGTTTTTCCTGTAAGATGGCACCAGTGGTGCTTAGTTGTCTTTAACTTCATTCGAAACAATTTTGTTAAATTGCATTGTGACAGCTATCACATCAGCGTGCATTTTTTTAAAAACTTATGAAAACTGGTGAATTTTTGTGTAACCATTTTAATACTGAAGATGGAAGAAAATACACAACATTTGGGACAAAATGTCCTTAATTTCAAGAAAGGTAAAAACGCAACTGAAACACAAAGAAAGATTTGTGCAGTGTGTGGAGAAGGTGCTGTGACTGATCGAACGTGTCAAAAGTGGTTTGCGAAGTTTCGTGCAGGAGGTTTCTCACTGGATGATGCGCCAGTCAGGTAGACCAGCTGAAGCTGACAGCAATCAAATCGAGACATTAATTGAGAGGAATCAATGGGAGACAGCCGACAAACTCAAAATATCCAAATCAATAAAGTTACTGGTGAAAATGAAAAATGTGTCTTTTTTTTTTTTAAACAGAAAAAGCTCCACAGACCTTTTGGCCAACCCAATATAAATATCTAATCACTATGTTGTACACTTGAAACTAATACAAAATTGTACCTCAACTCTAACTGAAAAATGTATTTGTTTAAAGATTCTATTTACTTGTTTTTAGAGAGGGTAAGGGAGGGAGAGAAACATCAATGTGTGGTTGCCTCTCGCACTCCTCCACTGGGGACCTGGCCCACAACCCAGGCATGTGCCCTGAGACTGGGAATCGAACTGGCGACCCTTTGCTTCACAGGCTGGCACTCAATCCACTGAGCCATACCAGCCAGGGCAACAAATTAATTTTCTTAAAAGTACTATTACTTCAGTAGTCTAAGTGAAACTGTTAGTTTCTAGATCACAAACAATTCTCTATAGGCTTCAATTTATCATTCCATTATGGATAAAAATGATGATTTTTGCCTTAGATTGACTATTTTTATTATAGCAAAAATGGAATAAAGTTTACTGTCTGAACTAAAAAAACCAACCATATACAATGTATCCCAAACGATTACAGAAACAAGGACCAGTGAGGTTGTCGTTGATGTCCATGTTAAATGAAGACTGTTCCTTCTCAAAATCTTTCAACCCACCTAAGAGCCTCACACGATGACAAATTTCTTTTCCTTGTTCTCAAAGGTAGCTTGAGACTTTCATTCAAGTGCCCCTCAGAGCCTCTGACCCCAAGCCACGTGGCCCTGTCCTTTTCCCATTCTGGTCCTGTGATCACCTACCGGTCTCCAAAAATTACCCTTTCCTGTAAAGCTGCAGAACTCACCTCCAGATGTTCCCAAACAACCCTGTGGACGCACCTGCCCAGCACCCTTCATCCTTCAGCTCCAGGGACCTCTAACCGCCCCCCAGCTCAGCAGTCATCACCCCCGGCCAGTGCCGCTCCCGGTGCGGCCCGTGTACCAGTCTGGGTCTGCAAACAGTCCCAGTTCACAACAGAGCTCGTGCCAGAGTGCAAATCAACTACCTGACTGCACACAGCTCTGCTTAGCTGACGCACTCTAGGGGAGGAGAAACGAGCAACGAGAACAAAACTTCCTTAATGAAGGAAGCAGTACCCTGAACTGCATTCAGGCACCCGCTCCTTAGCTCCTGGAAAACTAAGAGTCTGAGTGCGCTTGCACTAGGCCACGTAACAGACGCCACCAGAAAGCTCCACTTCCAAACCTGTACAACCTGGAGTTCTTTCTAGACGTGAATTTCTGTCCTTCGACTTGCCCCACGTGTTTGTTGCCAGTGAACCTGCCTTGTCTGCACGTGGAACCCCACTCTGACACCCCCACATTTGCTCTCAGTCCTTCAGTCTCTTCCTGGATTCTCTTTTTCGCCCTCTCTGGCCTGCAACCCATGACTAACCTTTCCTAACAAGACTCTCAGCCAGCAGTTCCCAAAGTCTGAGGCTCAGCCAGTACTGTTAGTACTGCCTGAGGAACTCGTTAGACAAGCAAATTCTCGGAATGAGCAAGTCAGGGAGGAGCCCAACAATCCACCGACTGCAATAATGCTACAGTTGGTGAACGACTGACCTAAACAATACCTTCCCTTTCCCCCATCTTACCTTCTTTTGGCATTTCCCAACCATTTCTTTCTACTACTTTAACATCTAGGTATCTCACTAATGTCAGAGAAAATCAAATAACTCAATTCACTGGCTTCACCAAAAGCTGTTTTTCAAACTCTCAATTCTGCTCTTCAAAGTTCCCCCATTCCTCTAAGAAACTAGTACACATCTTTTCCTTTTCCTGAGTACCCTAAACCCTACCTCCTTCCTTTTCATCAGATTATAACTCTACCCCTTACCTCACGGGAGCCCAAGGCAGGAGACGGGAGGGAAGAAAAGAACCAGGAACATGCATGTCCCTTCGACAGTCTTCCTCTTCAAAAGGGGTCATCTCCCGGTACCCCGTTCTTCCATCCTCACTGCCTCCAAGAAGGAATCACCTCCCTTGGCGAGACTAAGCCCACCCCCTGTGCCTGTCGCACTCCCTCTGCCACTGAGGGCAGCACGCGTGTTGCCAGCCGGGTGCGTCTCAGCATCCAGCCCCGTTTCTCGCCCACAGGAGGCGCTCCGCAGCCTGCGCTACTGTGCAGTCACCCACCGTTGCATTAGCACTGGAAGGACCCACTCAAATGGGGAACCTTTTTACATATCCACTGGTTTCACAAGTTCCCAAGAAAATTCCACACAGGACTATTAGGGTACTAGTACCCTATGGTTAAAAAACGGTCCCATTTTATTGCACTTATTTATATATAAATCTTCCCACTGCTAGAACATGCATTCCTTGCGGGCATGGAGAACATCTTCTCCATTCTGGGCTCCCAGACTTTAGCACAGCACAGTACCTGCACCTGGGACATTTTAATTATTTGTATGGCAGAAATAAAGTGTTTCATTTAAGAAATGCTAAAACCATGGCGACTCCTTCCTGCACAGAACATTAGGTATCTCCACAAACGCCTGAGAGGTGTGAAAAGAAAACACTAACGTCGCGCTTCAGTCTTCCCTGCACCACAAACTCTGGGCGGTCAGACACCGCAGCCCAGACCGCACCTCCTTCAGGCTTTCGCCCCCCAGCCTGACCCCTGCCGGCGTCCTTCTCAAGCCTCTCCTGCTCGTCCCAGGCAGGGCTCCGTGTGCTTCCCTCCGAGCACCTAGGCTTCCTGGGGTTACGCACCGCCTGGGTGCCGCATTCCCCTACTCCGCCATCTCAAATAATCACAGGTCAGTGAGGAAAAAGAAACCCACCCTCCTCTTCCCACCGATGTGCGTGAATAAACCAGAGGTCTGTTCATTAAGTCAACTTGCTAACTTCCCCTTGGCCACCACAGATGGAGCCCCAGCTGACAAGTTAAAGTCACAAAAGGGAAAACAAGAACAGTCCCCTCTTCTAGAAACATATATGAACTGCTGAGCTTATTATTTTCACTTAAAAATAAACCATCTAAAATTACAAATTTATCTCTTCCCCGTCAACCGCCCTCCACTCCCCAGCCATGTGGAGCAGCCTCTAAGGGAGACGGCATAATATGGTAGAAAAACACTGGACAAGAAGTCAGGAAATGTGGTCACAGCTCTGGGTAAATAAGACACTTAATTCTTAAGTGTCAGTTTCCTTAGAGAAAATAAGAGCATTGGCTTGGATGACCAAAATTCTCTCCTAGAAATAAAATCCTAGAATTCCACTTATATGTTCAATTTTGTGTTTAGCTCTTTTAAAAGTGTTTTTTTTTTTTAATTTCTACAGTTTCACTAGATATAACTGTTTTGTTTTTCCTCTCCTTTTTCTTTTTTGGCAACTTAAGTAAATATGATAGTTACTTTCGGCTGTGAAAAATTTCTGGTTTTATGTGCACACCCAATCTTCCTGCCTCTTTAAGAAGACATTAACACTCCAAATGCTTATCTTAGTACAAAACCACCCTTAGGTAAGACTCTCCCATGACTTTAACACCACAAGTTAACAGCAGTTTACAAAGAGCATGGCTCGCGAGGTCGGACCTGGGTTCATATTCCAGCTCCTCCACCCAGGAGCCAAGCATCCCAGGTGAGTTCCTACACCTCGGCAGGTTCTAATTATCGCGCCTGTAAAATAAGAATAATGCCCCAGTCTTTGCAAGGTTATAAGGGCCACAAGAAAACATATGTAAAATACCTATCAAAGTTTTTAACATGCAGTAGTCATTCAATAAGCAAGTTGTCCGTACAGTATCTAAATACGAGGACACCGTTAAAACAAAGAGAAGCGTAGCTCCCGACAGCGGCAGACCTCCCCGCAGCTCTTCGGCGCTCAGACCGAGCACGGGACCCAGCAACTCACCCTCCAGTCAGCCAGTGTCCCGTGAACAAGGTTTGAGGAGGAAGGCTTTTTAAAGCTTTAGGCTGGACCTAAGAAAGCTCTGTGGCAATCGGCTAGGACGCCCTCCACACCACAGGAGCGGCAGGCCGCACCGAGGGCTGCTCACACTCCGCCGGCCTTGGCGTGCTCCTCAGACGCCTTTCGGCAGGAGTCCGAATTCAGCTTAAGATACATCGTGAGACAGACAGACAAACTCAGGGATGGCAATTTGGCCGCAGGTGAAGACTCCCCTAAGGCCAGCATCTACCCAGTTCCCATGAGGCGAAAAGTAACCTCTAATTTCTCGTAAGTTTAGCTGCAGTTCCCAAAAGGCAGTACTACAAAAACCTAAGAAATTCATGGGTTTAACATTAAGGAGAAACCACCCACATGTGTATATGTAGAGTATCTTTCAATGTGAGAATAAAGCTTTTTAAGTCAAACTGTATCACGATACAGTTCCACAGAAATTTTGCTACTAAATACTTATTCATTCAAATATGTAATATATTTCATTTTTAAAGCTTCATACAAGTGAATTACCCACTCAAGTTTGTTGTGCTATAATTAGATCTAAGTATCTAGGGAAAAATTTAGGTAATCTCTCCACAAAGAGAGGGTGCTAAGAATTAGTGTTGTTACCTTTGTACGTGGAGCCTATCCATTTTAATTATTTGAGTCGGGTAAATAAAAACTATGTTTGGCTTTACTTCAGAAAATCTGTATTTGGGACCAAACGACTTGGGTTGAAGTCTCACTTCATTTCTTCCCTGCTCTGTTTGTCTTCTCTGACAAACCACGATGGGCTCCAGTTTCTTCATCCATGTTCTGGGAATAAGACTGGCCCTCCCTGCTCGCCCCCCAGGGACCACACAGGGGTGGAGGGAGCGCGCTCTGTACCTGACGCCAGGGGAACAGCGTGAACCCCTAACCCCCCAGCCAGCTCCACACACACCGCCGCAACTCCGCCCTCCTGCCTGCCCCTCGAGGCACCCAGACTTCCATATGATCTGTGTGCTGGAGTTCCACGGGAGGTTCTGGGTGGAAAAAGCACTGCACTGAAAAAAGTAAATTTGAAAAAAGTTACACTATACAACAGCAATTTCCTCTCATAAAAAATTAAAAAAAAATTATGAAAGACATTGTGCAACTACTCTAAAAATTAAGTGTCCCTGGTTTTTCATGCCAAAAAGTATCCATTTAGTACACATAAAACTACCTCAATAAGGGCTGCTGGCTAATCCAATAGATTCAACTAAACAATACTTGAGACATTCATCATCAAATTGAGTGAAATTTATTCTAAAGAAACTCCCACATAGATTCAAAATAATGATTACAGGATTATTACGAAGTCCCAGAACTGCTGCGAGAAACACAATTGTGGTTGTACTTAAAACAAAGCACACTTTCAAACAGCTTTGAATATTAGGAAGAGTGCATTTAAAAATATAAGCCTCTCTGCATTGCTGAGGAAACAGGTGAAAGCAGTGCAGTAAATACACAACCTTGACCGAGCAGTTTTAGGGTGGCAGTGCTCCAGGAAAGAAAGAAAAAAGCATGATAAACGTAAGATTAAGAAGGTCACCCCTCCGCCTAAGAAAAAAAGTTTGCTTTGTTTTACCATTCCTGAGGGTCAGGGGAATACAGAGTGAACAGGCTGAGACGTGGCAGCAGATCAGCCTCTACTCCAGAGAAACAATGAACTAGAAATCGACTCTAGTTTTTCCATGATCCTCTCTAGATTTCCTGAGCCGTTTGCTACCATCTGCTGCATTTACATTTATTCTTAGCTTTCATCTTGGTGCCTCCACCATGGACATTCTTTAATGTCTACTTACTGTGTCACATTTACAGCAAAAGGGGTGCACGCAAAACAGCGATCTCAAACCAAAGAATGAGTGTGCACCCGCTGGCGTGTGATTATGCTGAACTACCAGGAGAATATGAATAGTTTGGCTTCACTGAATCCTTCCTTTCCTTTTGGGCTGGCATTTATTCATAGAATAGCACTGGCAAATGCTGGGCAGGTGTAAGACTGGCCGAAGTCAGTTCACTCATTTAGAAGACTGCCGTAACTTTCTTACATGTCACTCATACAGAGTAATGTCTACCGTTAAGAAGATCCAAACATAAAACAGATCAATAGGTGACTATGAAAAAATCTATAGTAGTCTTCTCTTAATGAGAAGTCTCATTTTTAAAATGACATTTGACTTGTAATTTCTTTCTAGAATACGTCTAACATATAAAATGGAACACTAGTTCGTAAAACTCAGTTGTCTAAAAGATTTTGCACAAAGAATCTTTGTATCCCTTATTAAAGGTACCCTATACAAATTACATATTTCAGACAATGAGTAAGAGCCATATCCAGCCAGTATCAAGAAGGAACAATTTCATATATACAGGGTAATAATAAAATTCTAACACAGATTGTAAAAAATACTCAAAATTTCTGCTTTTTACAATGGTTAAATTTAATTTCATAGCTTTAACTTCACTAAAGTCTGAAGTCAATACAGTTAAGAGAAAACATAACAAATACTATAAATAATTGAAGACCAAAGGCCACTAATTCACAAGTAAAACTTTTTTAAAAATTCCCTATGAGAACCAACAATTAACCATTTCTTCCCTCCAAAGAACCACCTAGTCGGAGGCTGGGACTTACAGCAGGTAGGCCAGAGACGGCCCACAGGTGACTTGCTTTAGACCAGGTTTGGTAAAATCAAGGGCACCCCCCTCACCAGCCCACCAGAATCATAAGGGTCAAGTGCATGGCAATTACACTTCAAAATGCTTCGCAGCCCCTTCTGCAGTGAAGCTAGGAAACTGAGCATGGTCTAATAAAGACTAGTTTTAGTTTCAACTCTATCAGTAATCTTTCTTTGTAAGAAAATTCTGCACTTGCATGAACATTTGTAAAAAAAAAAAAAAAAAAATCGCTCAGTACCAGTAATTAGCACAGAAAATGATTCTGGTTCCAACTCCCCAGTGTTCTAGGAACTAAATGACAAGAATACTCAACAAAGTTGACAAAAGCACAAGATCACATGTAAAATTCCGTCGTGTTAGTTCCTTAATGCACATGCCCTCACTGATGCAATACCACCCCACAATGGGTTGAAAATCGGAGGTTTTTCACAAGAAATACTGATTAATCAGAAAATGGCAACCGTCTCTATGTACACACAGTAGTCTACAGCAATGACCCATAAACGGGGCATCTGCCTACATACACAAGGTACAACACACTTGGGGTTCAACCAGGCAGGGCCTGTGCCACCCGCCCCCCAACCCCCCGCCGCCCTACCACTCCGTGGTGTTTCCATGCTGCGGGAATCTGTCACCATTTCCCTATGTGAATACGTAAGTTACTCGTTCAAGCTTCGACTCAGCATCACTACCACCTATAGGGCCGACGACTCCCAAACATGCTCCTGAAGCTCAGCCTCGCCTCCGAGCTCCCGCCTCACTTTACCAAGAGCTACTCCGCTCCTGCTCGCTGGCATCGCCCACGCCCAGACTGCACTCTGCAGAGGCCCCGCTCTAAACCTTCTCCGCTGCCACGCTTTCCCACCTTCATGACCAGCATGGCTACTCACACCACTGCTTCAGGTAAAACCCTGACTGGCTCTTTCCCTCCTCGTGCCCCCACCCCCCACCACTGCCTCACAAACAATCCGCACACAAGTACCGCCGGTGCTGCCTCCCCTGCCAGCCTCAGGTCCTCCCACTCTCCCCTCTCCAGCAGCAGCCCTGGTTCAGCCGCCCTGACCGCCTGCCTCGGTCTCTTCCCCGGTCTCTTCTCACTGACTTTTGCTGCCCTGCAGTCCATCCTCTGCATGACAGCAATCTTTTTAAACATAACTTCGATCCTATCACTCCTTTCACTTAAAACCCCTGAATGACTCTCAACTGCATGGCGACTAAAACCCCACTCCTTTCTGTGCCCCTTAAGGCCCTGCCCAGTCTGGTCCCTGCTCCTCGCTGACTGCACTCCAGCCAGGCTGACCTCCCTACAGGTGCTCAGGTGTCCCATGGCAACTGCTTCCTCTCTGGGATCCTCACCCAGGTTACTACTGGCCCTCCTTGCTTAGCTGGCCCCTCCCTGTCCTCGGGTCTCCGAGAAACGGCAGCTCCTGAGGAAGGTCTTCCGCGACCGCGACAAGCTGAAGCAGGGCCTCCCTGTGAACCTTCTCCCAACGCCCTGTTCGTGTCTTCCTTCACAGCTGTTTATCTAGCATCTTGTTAGCACACAGTAGGCATTTTAACATTTTCACTGAGTGAATTAATGAGAAATATGTTACGTAAGGCTAATTACTAACATTTCCTACTGGGTTATGTAAGAGGCAATAAAAAAGACCTCACCTTCTCAATTTTTTTCTTTTTCACAGGGGGTTCAAACCTGTCATTGACTCCAAAATACTGGGTAAGTTCCTTCCACTGGGCTTCACTTGAGGACTGTTCACTGTAAGAAGACAGACAATAAATTTTGCACTAAATGTACTCATGTTCACTTTTATTGTTTTTAATTGAGTACTATAATTATATTACATCTAGTTCTTACATTTCAAAGGTTAGTAATTGAACTATTTGTACAAATTCCACAAATACTGTCTAGAACTGGCAAATTTTTTAATTCCACTTACCTATGAGATTTTTCTTCATTCTTCAATTTACCTGAAAAGAATTCACAAAGTGTTAATAGCTAAGTTGTAATTTCAAAATTACATTTATTAAAAATTAATGAGCTCAATTACAGTTTAACATTAGCACCATTGACAATTAACCTGAATTATAACAAAACACCTTTTTTGGAGCGTTTTCTCTTTTTCCTTCTGAATCTTGAAGTTGAAATTTTCTGTTCAGAGTGTTTTTTATGCAATTCTTGAAATTTCTATATAAAAGTTAAAAAAAAAATTTTGAAGCAAAGCATACATTCAAAAAATAACATGTTAATAAAAAATTAAATTCTTGTATTTATAAACATATAAATTTAAGTTCTTCTTGAGATACTCTTCCCCAACTCTTTCTTGACCTGTGTTTTCATCTTACTTTATTTCTAAATAAATCAATCTGATAATCTGAGAGTAAAATTCAATGACTCATAAATAACACAAAGATAAAATCAAGATAGGAATTCCTCCTGTATCATGTTAGGCAAAGTAGCTAGTCTTACTAAATGTTTTCTTCCTCTTTTTATGAAAAACAAAACAAAAATGAGAGCAAAGATCGGAGTGGCCAGTGGACTGACCACAGACCCACAGAGTAACAAAAGAATTCTGAGCCAATCTTCCCTACCTATTACCTCCCAAGAGTGCATACGTTCTGAGCATGGCAGAGAACTCATCAGAGAAAACCTACATTCCACACATGCAAGGGAATTCCAGAAGGACACGCTTCATACGCATTTGTATTTGCCTCTGCTTCAGTTTTTGGTCCATCTGCAGGGAAGTCTGAGATCTCTGCGTTTGTAATGGTCCCATCTTCTTTATCTTCCTGTAAGTTCAGTCCAGAGTTCTCTAATGTGTCTTCATCTTCAGAACTCAACTCAACATCACTTTCATTTAGGCCAGGAGGTAGCAGCCCACTCCACATCTTTTCTTCTAAAGGAAAAAGGATGAATTTAGACCTCTTTTAGGTTTTTAAAACCATGAAATGACACCCCAGGAGTCTAATAATTACACCTATAGTTTGGGAACAGTCCATCGGAACTTTTTAAAAATCTATAATGGGATATGCCTTCCATATTAAAATAATGAAACTCTTTCTTTGCTTGTAGAACTAAAAAGTGTAAAGTAGTGTAGCAAGTTATTACAAGACACACCTATAGATGAATGACCTGAAGAAAATAGGAGCTTGATTCTATTTTATATGCATAATTTTGCCTAAAAAAAAATTCCAGTACAAGCATCCATTGCTCGACAATGTTACAAGCCTAACAATATACACTGCAGGCAATTTAAGAACAGTATTATATTTCAAGCCATAACAACTAGAGAAGAAAGCAAAATTGACCTGTATTTGAATGTATAAAACGTTCAAGGGACATACTAAGGAGCAGCCAAACAATTATTCAAGGAAAAAATTTTAAGCTATACAAGTAGTTTGAGAAAAGTGTGATGGTAAAAATGATATCCTAGTTTAAAATTTTTTACTGTTTGCTAAAATAATATTAAATGGCATATAATCCTAGCATTTTAACAAAAACATATAGCTTTTTTGAATAATAATACTATATTTGGGAAACTAACGTTAAAGTTCAGAATAATATTTAGCATTAGCTATACTGCCCATTGGTAGAGAGAACCATTAGTAAGTTTAGTAAAAATCATTTTTAAAAATTGGACTTGCAATCTATTTGATCAAATTATGAAAACTGAGTACATTTTCACTATTAAGCTCCATGGCACAGTCTATTTCAGCACAGGTAGTGAGCCAAAACCAGTTTGTTTAAAAGATGCCTTAAATAGAGAAGTTAGTTGTACTGCCCATGACTTACTATCAACCTGAAGGAATAAAATGGAAGGATGGAAACCTTTTTTTGCAGAGTTTTCTGCCCCCTATTGTGATTAACCTAGTAACAAAACCACCACCATTGTCTCTGGGACAAAGACATCATGGGCTCTTCTGTAACTCTGGCTAATGGATTCCTGATAACTTCAAGAACCTCCTCCCAGGTCCAAAGAATCAGAGCTTCCTTCTGCCACTTGGGCCCAGATTCATCCACTGTTAGCTCTGTGAAATATCCTCACCAAAACGTTCTCTTGGCTCTTTAAGAGGAAGGGCTCTGACATCTACCTGCTCCAACTGTAATCCTGTACACCATATACTAGCAGTATGAGGAAATCATTTTTTAACCCCTCAGTTTTTGCATCTGCAACACAGGGATAATTATACTGCACGCGGGGTCATTCTCAGGATTACATGAGATAAGCCATGAAAACACTCAACGCGGTGGTTAGGAGGTCCTAGGGGCTCTTTCAATGCTAAGTGCTTTTTGCTACTATCATTTCTGTGGCTACGGACTACATTTTGATCATTTCTATTATGGACAGCAGCATTCATAAGGTAGTTTTGAAGTTTTTAATGTTTGAAGTGATTCACATAACAATTGATGCAAATCATTTCTCCCTGATTTCCACAGGCTCACGTGAAGTTTCTATTAAAAAAAAAAAAAAAATTGGTGTCTAGTTTTCTGAAGAGAGCAAAAAAAAACCAAAAGCAAATTACCATGAAGATAATGAAGCTTAAGCTTCAAGGCTCATTTGCACAAAACACTATAGCTAATTTCCTATTTAGAATATGTATTCCTTTTTTTTTTAAAACAAAGAGGAGACCCAAAATTATATAGGCTCCAGGCCCTGTAAAACTTGGGACACATCCCTAAACCAGGCCCGAGGATTTTAAAAGCTGGAATGGAGGTCATCTTGACACGCTGGCACAAAGGATATCATGTAAAATATGTTGATATTAGAAAAGAGATGTTATGCTATTAATAAAAATATTTCTACTATTCTGAAAAGTAGGGGGAGGGGAGCCATAATAGGCTCCTACATGACTTTGACACTGGCATATAATATACCTTTAGACTCATTATCCATTTCAGGATGTAAGTGTAGTAACAAATTTCAAATTTAGCTTTCTGGGCATAAGTGGGATTCTTCTATGCTTGAAGCCATTGCTTCTTTTCCCTGTCCTCAGCATCTTCTGCAGGTCCACTGTGTGCCACGCACTCTTCAAGACATGGGGACAGTAGTATACAAAACAGGCAAAAAGGCCTAATTTCATGGAGCCAATGGTTTACACACACAGCAAGCTCCTGTCCATCAGCAGCCAAGTACCACTGAGCCCAGATTTCAGTCGCGGCTGCTCATGAAAGACATGTGCCTTCCAGACAGGCTGTTCTTCCAATGGACCACTAACTACTTCAGCACCTCTACAGGCGAGTCTGTGCTTTGGGCACTACAACGTGCTTCTCGGTTGCCATGGAGAGGACAGGGCTTTACTCAGCAGCCCTCAAGCAATTATCTATTCTTTATCTCCTTTTGGACTTTCTCAAAATCATCTGTTTTCAGCTCTTGCTGATGTGGCACTAAGAACCGCCTTCAGGGTGGCACTGGCTGGAGTGATTTCTTGTGTGGGCCCGCAGGAAAAAAAAGTCAATATAACTTTCAAAAACTGGACCCTACATCCAAATCTATAAAGTAAGACAAAATTCAAATACGGTATGTTTTAGAACTCAACTCCTAAACATCTTCAATGTGCCATTCTCCTGTAACTGTTAAAATAAAAAGAACACCTAAATACAAGTGGCCCTTGATAAACACAGATAACTAACTCGCTGAGGAGCCTGCGAAGTGTAGCTGCCCACATGCGCCACAGCCTGACTGCACATCAGGCAGCGTGGAGTGGCTTCTTTGTGACATGCTTTGGGCTCGTGTTTCAAAACACTGTCTTTCTATTCAAAGCATATACGTATCTTTCATACATTTCCAGCTGTACCATGGTAAGCCTCATGTTATTTCTGTTTTGTCCATTCTGATTCTTTGGAGTGTCTCTCATGCCACACCTTTCAGAGTATGTTCCTTCACTATAAAGCAGATCCCTGCAAATTACCCTTTAAATTTGGAAATTACTCAGTCATTCCCAAGAGACATGGTACACCAGACTAGAAACTTAAGTTTTTTAGTGTAGATTCTAGCCAGGTCTATACAACAGTCCATGTATTATTAATAGCCTTTCAGTTTTTAGCCTACAATCCATACAATTTTTAATTTAATCAAGTTGACCCAACAAAGATGTAAATGATTCAGAAGCCCTTTTGACTCTATGGTTTTGAAGATCACCCTCTTCATTTCATACACTACTTCTTAAGGTTTGTTTCCTTTTCTCCTTCCACGATTATTTTTTTTAAAAATTCTGTGCATACCACACAGAACACATCACTAGTCCTGGGCTGACATGATTTACTATGAACTGCAAATATTTATGCATCACTCCAGTTTGCATGGCTGGGTTTTCTTTTGCCCTTGAAAACCCACTACAGTCACTGTTTATTGAGCACACTTGGGCAGATCACAATGCATCAAGAAGAATGTGACCCTGATCAGCAATTCCTAATTTAAGGTTTTTACAAAATTTTATAAAGATGGAAATGAAGGTCTCTGAGCTACTTTCAATATTCAAAAAGGCCAACATATTTTTTTCTCTTAAACATCATCATCCACCTTTAGATGAGAAGACAAATTTAATGAAGCATAATTCTTCACCACATATTTGTTGATGAGAGACTCTGACTGGTAGCTATAAACCTGATTTTCATTGAAAAAAAAAACTAATAAATATGCTTTAGCAGATACAATCTTTCAAAACATGACACTCATGGAGATATCAAATTATAATAAAAGGGTCTTAGGTTGTGCAAGGATTGGGAACGGCTGGTACCCAGGAAAAAGACATGGTTTTGAAAGTTGAAGACGGTTTTCTAGTCCTGAGCAACATAATTGCAGGCAAGCCACTGCATTTTGTCTGGGTTTCCATTCTTAAGATAGAAAATGAAGGTCTGTTCAGATGATCTGAGGTGTCTTGCAGCTTTAAAATGTTTCTTTACAGATCTTAACATTGTATGTGCCCAAATACTGTCACTGCATTCTTTGCTACTACTCTCCATTCTCTCCCAGTCAGATGCAACAGTGATTAAACCCCAATACCCAGCAGATAAGGTTCTCTCCTCAGCCTAGCTGCCACAGCCAAGATTAATAGTTTTCTATTAGACTACGCACTTCACACAGGACACTGAAAGATGCTCTGGAGAAAGGGAAGAAAACCCCAGTTATGACAGAAGAAGAAACAGAACCAGGAAAGAAAACAAAGCAAGTCATTGCTATACATAGTATACAAACAATGTGACTAGCACTGATTTACCATTAATCTCACAGCCATCCTTCCACTAGGAATTATTACCTTTTACAAATACGGTAACTGACTTGCCTAATGCACGTGATCCGCTTATTTTACCACAATGGATCTCTACGGCTTCAAATTCTATGCTGTTAGAGGGCATCTTAAGTGGTAATATATTCTTGGAGACAAAGATTTGAATGTGGGTCTGAAGAATGACTCTAGCCTGTAACCTTAGACTTGCTAAAATTTAAGAAAATTTTTTTCTCACTGTTTTAAGTGCAGAATGCTATGTAAGATGCTACACTAATCTGTATGTATCAAAGTCACACTGAAGTAAGACTGTCAGGTTTTGTGGTCAACCAGGAAGCTGCTTATAACCAAAACACAAAAGATATAATCTGAGCAGTCTAATGAGTAAATGTCTCCTGTCTCTAATATTCCAAAATTTCAATTCCATTTTCACCAAATGAAGCTTATTTCCCATATTTTGTATTCAATTAGAAATAATCACAGGAACCTGAACCTTGTCTGATATGAATTTAACCCTACTTGTATAATAATCATATACCACCACCCACCAATCTAAAGGTTTCTGTGACTTGGAATTAGTTGCTTAACTAAAATACTTTTAAACATGTATCATCATTAATGTAAACATCCTATTTACTTTCATGAAATAAACGTGTTCCCTCTTCCCAAAAAGGTAGAACATACCAGTGTAAAACAGGCTTGCCTTAGGATTTAAGTTACCAATCCTATCACCCTAATAAATTATTGTATATATGTATTTAGCAGGACTTTGCATGTATGCATGTTTTAATTAACAGAGTGTCTGTTCAGTCCAGAAGTGGAAAACACTTCCTCAGACCCAAGAAAGATTCACAGTTAACCAGTAACATTTTGGGGCTCATTTTAAGTCGGATGTCGCTGTGCAAATACTTACAAGGCTCAAGGCTGCAAGAGGGTGGCTCTACAAAGGTACACCTTTTCCTGGTTGGCCGCGCAACCCGGAACTCTGCAGGCTCTCTGGCGGCAGTGTCACACTCCGGTCCCCAAACGGGATTCCCGTACCGGGCACAGCACTAGGTGCCCAAGGTTCCGGTACAGGAAATCTAGCCTGCCGACACACCCACTAACTGCTGCTCTTTCCGGGGACCCAGCAACTGTAAACAGGAACCTCTTTACCTGATCGAAAGCCTCCTCACCCCTCTCACTTGCGCCGGGGCCGGAGTGGGACGGAGAACCCCTCTGCAGACACGGCGCCGCAACGCCCCTTCCGAGCAAATCGGGAGGCCAGCCCCTCCGACTCTCCCGCGGGCCCGGCACGGGGCGCCTCGGTCTTAGGTCCGTGAGGCCACCCACACTGGCTCCCTCACTCCCCGCGCCCGGCCCTTCCCTACCCCCAGGCCGGACCCCAAGCCTCCTGGGAGCCAGCCTGGCGAGCAGCCCTACTCACCGGTAAGAAGCCAGCCGCCCGGCAGCCATCTTAAGACACTGCCAACATCGCGCTTTCTTATTGGCTCTGACATCTCAGCCAATGGGCTGGGGTTGTTCTGGCCTTGCAGTCGCCGTGGCAACCGGCCGCGCTCAACTCAGTGATGAAAGTCGCTGAACCGAGAGTGGTTGGTTTTTTTCCACTTCCTTTCTCTCACCGTTTTCCCTCTTTTTTCTGGTCGTTTCTCCAGCCTTTGTTGTTTCTTCATCTCCTCCAATAACCCGGTGATGGCTTAGACCTTGACCTGAGTTCGATCCACAAGGAGAGAGAATCGCTGCCGATGCTCGCTAGGCCCTTCTGGGAATGTTTCCATCCGTTCATCCTTTTCCCTCCCTCCTTTACTTTTTTTTCTTTCTGCACATATTTATTGAGCAGACTTCCTTCAGCCTCTGTTTAGGAGGAAACGGTCCGACTCCTGCTCTCGTGGAGTTTACCATCTGACTATCGTCCAAGCTGCTTCAGCAGCCACCTGTGTGACCTTGGCCGAAAGCTTATTGAACAAACCCCTGTTCCATGGCAGCCACTGTTTAGGCCCTGGAGGAGCGTAGGAAATAAGCATGGAAAAAACAACCAGGAAAAAAGAAAAGCGCTATGAAGACAATAAAACAATAATGTGATCATGATGGGAGTGGGGATCTTTTAAAAGGGCTTCCCTTCTCTGAAATAGTGTTCTCTAATAATGATAAGAATGTTTCCTATTTTCCAGTGTTGTAATGTTTAGATAAGAAAATACATATGAAGCCTTTAACCTATTTATTACTTGGCCCACAGTAATTTTGTCTTAGCTATTTATTATTGTTAACATTATCGATAATGCCTCTTTTGAAACATTCTGAAAATGTATAAAAAGGTTGTGTGGCACTCAATAATATATCACGATTTAGTATAAGCAGGTCTTTAAGCTTGTTGCTTGACTATCTACTGTCCCAGCCCCTGTGTCTTCCAGAAGATGTGCCAGGTTTACGTGGTTTTCTGCAACCCCAGAATCATAGTGATACCTGAATTGACAAGCTTAGGTAGCTAAGGTCCTTTTAACATGCTCACATTCAGATTCTAGAATAGAAGCAGAGCTGAGCTATTAAGAATCTGTATGAAACTATCTTGGCCAAACATATCCAGCTTGTCAATGGAGTTTTCCCTGAATCCAAAACCTTAAAGAGTTATAGAAAGGATGTGTGCGAAAGCGCTGTTGTAGCTGTGGCATTGGGCCGCCTAACTGTTTTATTAGCTCAGGCAGACTGGGGGACTTAGGCAACAGAAACTTATTTCTCATAGTTCTGAAGCTGAAGGTTGGGAGGTCCAAGATCAAGATGCCAACAATGTGGGTTTCCTTCTGAGGCTGTCTCTGGACTTGTAAGGCGGCAGCCATCTAGCTATGTGCTCGCAGAACCTCTTTTGTTTTGTTTTCTTTTGTTTTGGTATTACTACAGGTGTTTGAAAAGAGAGAAAAAAGAGGGGGGAGAAAGAGAGAGAGAGATCTCCTATCCCAGGTCTCTTCTTTTGAGGAGACTAATCCTATCAGGGCCCCACCCCTATGACCTTAAGTAAACTTAATTCCTTAGAGTCCGCAGCTCCAAATGCAGCCACACCCAGGGTGAAGGTTTCAACAGATGAATTGTATTGGCACACAAACATTCAGTCCATAAAAATGCTTATGATGGAAGTGTGGCCAGAATGGGGAAACAGAGTGCAGAGGTGGAAGAATTAAGACGTGGACTAGGGAGGAATGTTGGCCCGTTTAAGATCTAGATTGTTTCCACATAAATTCCATCAAAGAATACTCATATTTCTTACTACAAGTAAATGTGCAAAATGGAGACTATACTTATAAATACTCCAAAGACCTACAAACACCACACTTCATATCAAAGGTTTTTGGTAAGTCTTACTTTAAAATAGGTGTTTTAAATTCTTCTCTGTTAATTTGAGAATTCTCAAATATCTGGTTATGACATTATTGGATTCTTATAATAAATGTAAATAGCTCAAGCTTTTCTTCTGGTTCTGGTTATGAGACTTTTACTCTCTGAATATTATTGTTTTGCAAGTTTTCTGGAAGAACTGTCAGTCATTTGATTTATTTTAATCAATAAATTTACCTTCCCTTCAGCAAATTCCTGCCCTGGAAATCTGCCAAACCATGCATTTTGTGAATGAAATACTTGTATTTGTGAGATTTCTATGCAATGTAGAATTATTGAATACCTTTTACTAAATCATAATGTGATGCAGCTAGTGAATTGAGCTTGAATTGTGTTGCATCTGGCACTAATTTCAAACATGTAAGTTTCACTTAAATTATCAAACATATCTTAAAAATCATAAAGCAGTTTTTCTTTGCCAAGAAATATTATAGTTTCTGAATAGTTTTTCCTTATATTTCGTCATTTTTTTTCTTAGTGTAGAGATTACAAGTCACACTCATGTTATAAAAGATTAATTGTGGAGGTCTTTTTTGGTGACTGCTAAATCTCTGATTGATGAAAATTTTCCCAAATATAATGAAATCCCTTAAATATTTCTCAGTTGGAAAAAGTGAATACGACCTTGTTGAATATATAATAAATGTGTTTCTTGCTGAAACTGAGAAAGAGAATAATTAATTTCCGTCTGTGCAGAATGCCTTATTCTCTGCATTGAAGGAAAAGTGGTCTAGTGACTTATGCAGAAGAGTAGAAACTAGGGAGTTCTGAATTTTATGAATTGTGGGACAATTCCTTTTCTGGATTTGTTTTTTAAATTTGCAAACCATAGCCTCTATAAACATTGTTAGTCTTCAGAGAGTGTGTTAAACAACTAACACAGTGATATCAGCAAGGGTTAACATTTGAGGAAATAGCATTTCTGTAATATAGGATGTTGCCAAAGAAAGGCATTTTTTTTAAAACTGGTCATGTCTAGTGCTTTCAAAATCACCTGGTCCAATGGGCTCTATATCAGAAGAGAAAGAGGACAGCTTATTGAACATTTATATGCTAGGTATTTTGCATCTAATATCATATAATCTTATGAAGTAGTTATTATATCCATTTTACAGATAAGGAAATTAAGACTTCAAAAGTTTAAGAAACATGCCTAACGTCACATAGTTAGTAACAAGCAGAACCAGGTGGGGATGTTACCCTGACCCTTTTAAGATAAAGGTCCCAGCACAGTACGGTCAATAAAGTATAAACATGATGACTACCCAGTGGCATGTGTACCCAGTGGGAGCTCATGACAAGAGAGTCCTCAGGAGCAAAATGTGTCTTCCCTCCCCAAACCTCTTGGTACCCAGCGAGTGATCAAACCCTATCAGAGGGACCCTATTCAATCGTTCCTGCTTTGGCACATTGAAGCCTATGTTAGTCTCCCCTTTCCTAACACATTACCTTCATCTTCCAAAACAGCTCAAAGCCTGGTTAATTTCTCTAGATAAAGGAACACATGTAAAGCTTTAACATAGGGCCTGGCATTTATTGACTAATAGTCAATCAATATTAGTTTCCTTATACACAAAAAAAATAAGGATGTGTGCGCGCGCGCGCGTGTGTGTGTGTGTGTGTGTCAGGGAGTAAAAGGAACACATAGTACAGAGAGGATTTTTTGGACAGTGAATATACCCTGAGTAGTAACCATAAAAAAAGATTCACATCACTATATGTTTTCCCAAGCTCATAGAATATACAAAACCAAGAGTGAACCCTAAGATAAACTATGGACTTCAGGTGACTATGATGTGTAAATGTGGATTCATCAATTTTTTTTAACGAGGTACCACTCTGGTTGGAGATCTCAGTAACGAGGGAGGCTATGCATGTGTGGAGACAGCAAATGTATGGGAAATCTCTGTACCTTCTCCTCACTTTTGCTGTGGACCTAAAACTGCTCCAAAAAAATCTTTTAAATCTAAAGGTTTTTTTTTAATCAAAACAATAATTTATTACATGTGAAAATTATATAAAACTAAAAATTTAGTGTTCATAAATAAGTTTCTATTGGGGCACATAGGAAAAAAAAGCTAAAGAGTACATAAATGTTGATAGATTACCAGATTAATATGTCAATGTCTTTGTGGATCGTACCATACACCCAATGCTCAGCACTTTGCTAAAGTTCAAGGAGAACACATATGAAGTATATGAACTTGTCTATCAAGAAGTTCGGTGTCTGACACATGTGATAGATTTTACACCGTAAGTACTAAAATTTTGAGAACCATGATATAAGTACAAACCATAGATCCTAAGAATGGAAAAGTAAACTACATAAAATATAGCATGTGCCATTTCCTTTGCTTGGAAAACCTTTCTCTTTTATACCATTGAACTTGTTTTCATCCTTCAAGACCTAGATCAGATATTACCTCCTGAGTTAAGCCTTTCCTGATTCACTCAGTTCATGCATTCTCTGTGCCTTCATAATAGTTGATACAAAGCACATTGAAATTAGTTGTCATAGATCAGTCTGCTCCGACCAATAGATTATGAGCTTCTTCAAAGGCACAGTGTTTGTCATGGAGTAAGTGCTCATTAAATGTTT